CATGAAGGAAAAATTGGCAGGACTTAGTGACTAACTGAATGTGGAAGGAGAGCAAAAGGAAGGAGAGACAGATAACTGACTGGAATAATGATGGAAAAGTAAAATCAATTTTGGTGGGGTAAATGATGAGATCAGTCTTGAACATGATTAATTTAAGGAAAGGGCATAAACTGAAATGATATAGTGACAGGAAATACAGAAATGTTTTTGTGCAGTTATGAGCCACATACAGTAGAATTAAAGTCATGAATGTGCTTGAGATCTCAGAAGAACTGTGGATAAAGGGAGAAGAAATGAAGGTCAAGGACAACATCACAGAGAAGGTTGGTGGTAAAGGGGGCAGGTGGAATAATTAGTCCAAATAAAGAACAGAAAGGATAAATAAAGCAGGAAAGTTTGGAAAGGCACAAGGAAAACTTAGGGATAGTGGTGTCTCAGAAACTAAACTAGAAGAGAGTTTCAAGAAGCCAGAGGTAAAAAGAGAGTATCTATGCAAATTCAGTACAAATCATGGTATCCTTGCATGAATTTTTAATTTTTTTATTTTAATATATTTCCCCAACTAAAAGTAAAAACAATTTTAACTTTTTCCCCCAATTTTGAATTCTGAATTCTTTCCCTCCCTCCTTCCCCTGCCCCATTGAGAGGGCAGGCAATTTGCTATAGGTTATACACGTGTAGTCATCTTACATGAATTTTTTAAAGGACTTGGCAGCCCTTTTAATGTATAGGCTGAATTAGCAATAAATTCTTATAATAGGGTTGGGAAGAAAGAATGCTTTTTATTTGAATGTATTCAGCACCTTCACTAGAACTTGGCTAATGGTCTGGGCATAGTGGAGAATTCTTCCTTTGCCCTTTGGTATGTAAATTTTGTGTGGATTCTGAAATTCTGATGTTACATCAGTTTTGCAGTTCTCCAAAATGGTATTGACTGGGAGTAAGTTGAGAGTGGGATAGATCTGGCAAGGTGTGGTTGAACAATTCTGCCATTGTCTTCACAAATTTCCTCCTCATGTCACTCAGGGATGAGTTACTTCATATCAGGCATTAAGGATGACTTTCAAAGTTTAAGGCCAGGTCTTATTCCTCTTGGTATCCTCAATGTCCTACATTTAGAAGGCTCTCACATTTTGATTGGTTTAAAAAAATAGCCGGGGAAATTGCTGTCAGATAGAGATGGTGGTGTTTGTTAGGGTAGCATGAACCTTATAGTTGAGCTTTTCCTCAAACAAGGCTAACTGAAATACCAGAACAGTTAGTACATGAATCAGCGAATATTGATTTTTTTCTATGAAAACGACACTTTATTAAATAACATTATGAAATAGTTAATCACTTTACTCAATCAATCAATCAATCAACAGGTATTTTGTACCAATTATGTGTCAGGCACTGGGTCAGCACCTGAGATGAAAAGACAGAAGTAAACTGGTGTCTGCCTCCAAGGATCTTACATTCTAATAGGGAAAACAACATACACGTACGTAGGTATGTACACAACACACAAAAAGCAGATACAAGGTAACCTTAGCAGGGGAGGCACTAGCCAATTGGGGACTGGGAAACAACTTATACAGATTGACATGCTTGCTCTGTCTTGAAGGAAGACTGGGATTCCAAGAGATGGAGGTGAGAAGGGAGATCATTCCAGGATGGAGGAAGGTCATGGCAAAGGTCACAGAGATAGGCTGTCATATGTGAGAAATAATAAGGCCAGTATGACTGAAGTGTCTATAGAGTATGTAAAGGGGAAAAATATGTAATGAAGTCTCAGTGGTCAGATGCGGCCAGACAAGGAAGAGTATTAAATGTCAAACAGGAGAGTTCATACTTTATTCTAGAGATGATTGGATGTGTGTGTGTGTCTGTGTGTGTGTGTGTCTGTGTGTGTGTGTGTGTGTGTGAGAGAGAGAGAGAGAGAGAGAGAGAGAGAGAGAGAGAAATGGTCAGACCTAAAGTTTAGAAAATTACTTTGGTATCTGAATAGAGGATGGATTGGAGTGGGGAGAGGCTTGAGGCAAAGAAAGCAAATATAAGGCTTCTGCAATGGTCCAATCTAGAGCTTTCCCACATTTATTTGGCCTACCATCCCCTTTTTAAAAAAAAATTACCCAGCACCTCCCTAGAAATTTACTTTCTTTAACTCTGATGGTTTTTTAAAATTTGCATCATTTCAAAAAATTAATTTTTTAAAAAAATTTACACATTTTAAATTTAATAATTTATTGTAAATTTGTAGTTTTTTTCCTGCATCGAAATTTTAATGATGCAATATTGCATCATGTTACTATATGGTATTATAAACAAGTCATTACATGCACATATTTCTGCCAATGCATACTTGAGTTTCCAACAATGTGTGACATGGTCACCTGCCAATACTTGCTTGTTAAAACCTGTCAACAGACTTGACCACTGATGGGTTATAACTTGTATTTTGTGTGTTTATTTGGAAAATAATGTAATCACTATAACTTTAATTCTGTTACACAACAGATGAAACATATATGAACGATTTTTCAAAATTTTGTCTTCTCTTCTTTCCTTATGCTTCCAGCACCCCCTTATTTTTATTCATTGACCACCAGTTACACCCGAGGCTACTACCACACCCCTGGAACATTCCAACACCCCAAGGGGAAACATTACCCACCTTGGGGAAGCTATGGTCTAATCTATCAGTGTTGAGAACCTGAACTAGGGTGTTATTGTATGAGCAGAGAGATGGGATAGATGTGAGTGAGAGCTGTTTTGGAAGTAGAAACAAGATACTTTGGCAACTGATTGAATATGCACATGAGATGAGTGCAAGTGAGGATTAAAAGATGATACTGAGGTCATGATCCTCTATAACTGTATAGTAGAGTCATTGACAGAAATAGGGAAGTTTAGGGTGGATTTATGGGAAAAGATGATTTCTGATTTGGATATGTTTGTTTGAGATGCCTATAGGACAATTATTATCACGTGTCCAATTGGCAGTTGGAGAGGTGTGATGGGAGCTCAGGAGACAAAGGTATTTAGAGATTGGAGTAATGCTTAGAGACAATAATTGAACCTGTGGGATTTGATAAGGTCCTAAATAAGGCAGTAGAGAAAGAAAAGAGAAAAAGCCTTGGGGCTTGCCTGCAGTTAATGAGAATAAGGTGGATGATCCAGAAAAGAACACTGAGGAGAAGTCCAGTGAGCAGGAGAAAGAAACCAAGAGGGGAGAATACAAAAAGAGAACACAATCAATGCTTTAGAGAAGTCAAGAAGCATGAGGACTGGGAAAAGACCAGTAGGTCTGGTCATTAAGAGACTGCTCCTATTTTTGGAGAGAATAGTTTCAGTTGAGGAATGAGCTCAGTAGATTGGCTATACAGCAGGTTTAGAAGCCAATGAGAGGAGAGGAAATTATGGCAAGAGAAGGACTGAGTTTTAAGCTAAGAGAAGATTAGTGTAGAAATGCTATAAGGAACGAGATTTAGAAGTACAATGTGATCTTTTCTCTATGTTCAATAAATACTTAGCTTGTTTTTACTTGCTATTTTCTCTATTTGTCATGTGCTAAATCTATTTTTAATCCTGCTCATTGATGATATTGCTTTGGAAATTAAAACCTGGATCTGGAAATTCTTATTTCACTTTATGGGCATGAAAGCTCCTCCCTCTTTGCCTAAAGTTTGAGAGAGACATGTTATTTGCTTCTTGTCCGGTCTAATTCTTATTTAGAATCTGTGTGGGGGAAATTTTATGTGGGTGTCTGTTCTCTGAGTGGATTTTCAAAACATTTTGTCAAATATAATCTTTATTCTTGAGTTTTGAGTCAAAAAAGAGGGAGAAAAAACCATGGTGGATTTCATTTTATTTTTTGTCCATGCAAACTTTTCAGTAATCCTATGACTACATCCTACAATCAGGTTATGGTTTCTTTAGTGTGCAACCAGAATAACCACTCATTCCTTTTATGAAGGAAAAGTTCATGTTGGACTTATTTTACTAATTAATATTAAAGGTTATTCATTACTTTCCTCAATAGCTTTTGTAGGTTTTTCCTTACCTTTCGCTAAATTTGTAACCGAGGCTTTGTTCTTTTCCCCTTCAGAGAATTTTAAAGATACTTTAGTATGAATGCACAGATTTGTTAAAATTATCATTTGTTTTACATCACTTTAAATTCCAAATATCTCTCTCCTCTTTCAACCAAGTCTGATATCATACGTAGCCTCCCACTTCTACAGGGAAAAGAGGGAGGTGCATCCTTGTACCTTTTCTTTGCCTGAGCTAAGCTTAGTCATAGTAATTTTACAGAATTTGGTTTTGATTTTTGTTTTTCTTTCCATTTTCATTGTTGTAGTTGCTTTGCATATTTTTTTTATTGGTTCTGTTCAATTTGCTCTGCATGAGATTATATGTCTTATCAGGGTTTTCTTCTTTTTCATTATTTTATTTAGAGAATAATAATATTCTAATACATTCATGTACCACAATTAAGATAGTCATATAGGAGGGCATCTACCTTGCTTCAGGTTCATTACTACTACAAAAAAAAATGATGCTATACAATTTTGGTGTTTTTTTTATACCACCTCATGGAATTTTGAGATATGGCACTTGTCATACCACTCACTTCTTGCCAGAGAACTGATGAATTTGAAATACAGAGAGAGGTATACTTCTCTTTGGTCACAGTCAAAGTGGGAATTTGTTTTGTTGAACTATGTTCATACTCAGAGTTGGTTTGTTTTTGTTTTTGCTTTGCTTTGCTTTGTTTTGTTTTGCTCAGTTGATGTGTGTGTGTGGGTGCAGTGAGGAAGACAAATTACAAGTGAATTAAAAATAAATAAATACATTTATCTCTACAAAAAGAAAAAAGAGAGATGGTTTTTGTTTGATTATTCAAAGTTTTTCAGGAAAAAGAACAGAATAACTGAATGATCTTTTCTTTTGTCCCTCTCTTGAATTCATGTAACTGACCTTGCTTTTTTTTTTTATTTGTTTGTTTATTTTCGCAGAGCAGCCTTAATTATCAGGACGGACTAGGAGTGGCCACACTCAGTGTTCTCTATGGAGCCCTGATCCTGTCTTCCATGTTCCTTCCTCCAATTCTCATTAAGAAATTTGGCTGCAAATGGACCATTACAGCCTCCATGTGCTGCTATGTTGCTTTCTCTCTGGGAAACTTCTATGCCAGCTGGTATACCTCCTCTTCTCTCTTTTAGTAAAAGCCTCAATCTTCAGCCAACCTCATCCTGTTACACATTAGGTATAGGGAAAATATGGAGAGAAGTCAGCAATGGAAGATGCCAGAAAAGATCAGTTGGCCAGTAGTATCCTTCCTCCTTGTACTCTAGCAGCATCACACAACATTCCAGCTGAGGAGGCCTGGACTTTCTTATCATTCTAGCACCTTCAAATTGTTAGAAATACCTAGCAATCATCTCCTGGACTTTTCAGCACCAGAATTCCCTGGCACTTATTGCCTTCTCTACCCATGTACCTCAGCTAAAAAGGATGTTGCTCACCCATTTCTTTAAGTGTGATGGTGAATGGTGTGTCTTTCTTCATCATTTCTCTCCAAAAAGCCTTAAAAAGGAAGACCATGCCATTTTATGTTGACTAACTGAGATTCTCTTTTTGTAGGTATACCTTGATCCCCACCTCCATGATTCTGGGTCTAGGAGGAGCCCCCCTGTGGTCAGCCAAAAGCACTTACCTTACAATCAGTGGAAATACGTATGCACAAAAGACAGGAAAACGTGGGAAAGATGTCATCAACCAGTATTTTGGCATCTTCTTTCTCATATTTCAGTCCTCTGGTGTCTGGGGAAATTTGATTTCGTCTCTGGTATTTCAACAAGAGTCTACCACAGGTAAATGGAGCTGGCTGAAATACTGTCCATAGAGCAGTGTAATTTCTGTGGTGATGAACCAGAGAAATATGTTAATTCAGTCTTTTAAAAATAATTTAATTTTTAATTGGTAAATGTTTATTTTTCTCCCTCTCCCACTCGCCCTCAATTAAAAAACAAGAAAAAAAATTAAAACTCTTGTAATAAATACTCATAGTCAAGCAAAGCAAATTCCCTCATTGACCATGTCCAAAAATATATGGCTCAATCTCAATTTTGAATTCATTCCCTCCCTATCAGAAGGTATGAAACATGCTTCATCTTCAGTCTTCATAGAGGCCTAGAGGTGGCTTGCTGGGTCAAATAGTATTCATAGTTTCGACTTTGGGTGCATGGTTCCAATGGCTTTTCAGAATGCCTGGACCAATTTTCAACACTGCCAACCATGAATTAGTATTTCTGTTTTCCTCCAGTCCCTCCAACATTTGTCATCTCCATTTATGTTACTTTTGCCAATCCGGTGGCTGTAAGGTAGACCCTCAGAGGTGCTTTGCTTCTCATTCGTCTGATTTTTAGTGATTTGGGAGTAGCCATGTGGTTGTTGATAGCTTGGATTTCTTCCTTTGAAAAGTGTTTGTTCATATCCTTTGATCATTTAGCTATTGGAGAATTGCTGATTCAGCCTGAGGACATTTCTTTATTCCTTTTGCAGTCTATGTTGAGAGAGCACAATATAACTTGTAATCAACTTTGTAGGACTATTTAGTCATAATTTGCCCTTTCAGACTTTCTACATGATACAAAATTAGCTTGACTTTCTTCCCTCCCTCCCACAAACTGAATCACCCTAGTTCTCTACTAGGTTTAAGGGTCACATAGCGATAATAATTCAAGTCAACTGTGTATTTTATCAGATGTGCTGGGAACCAGGGATTGCCAACCGCCTTAGAGACTAACACATTGAGTCATCCAGGATCAAAGTTTCTCCTTGCGTATATTCTCTTACTATATTCATCTGTTTGTAAGTGCCTTTAGGCACACATAGATATAAAACTGTGTTGCATGATGGTTTTCATTTTCATTTATCTTTAGTAAAAATATTTACTGAAAGTTCAAAAATCAAATGAAAGAAAATTATTTGATTAATAATAGCTCATATTTATATAATACTTTACCATTTATAAAACCACCCCTCAAAGCAAGGCAGTAAGCCACCTTGCTTTGTTCCCCATCTCTACTACCACCCTGCCCTTACCAATGGAAAAAAGTATCTAATGGACATGTCTCCTCATAGTCTGCCAGTAAATGCCTCATTATTCAATTCAACAGTTCCAACATCTATTCCCTGTGATTGCCAATAACACTATCACCTTCAACCAGGCTTGTAACTTTGGTGTCATCCTCAATCCGTTACTTTCAATCATTGCTGTATCAAAATCTTGTCAGTCGGCAAGTCTGTAAGTATATAAGTCAGTAAGTATGAAGAAGTGCTTACTATGTGTCAGCCACTGTGCTAAGCACTGTGAATATCAAAAAGAGTAAAAACAAGGTCTCTCTTTGAAGGAAGCTCATCTTATAACGGGAGAGACAACGTACAAATAACCACGCGTAAAAGATCGTGTAAATGGAAGGGAACCTCTAAAGAGAAGGCACTGCCTCAATTCTTACCCAGCCTATAATTATTGAATGGACATTGCCTCAGACAAACTAAGACTAGGAAAGACCTTAGCTTATAAAAGCCATGGTCTGCCACTGCATCTGGGGCCATCGCCAGTATGAGCATTCCATGCAAGGCTGCAGGATTACAGTGCAAATGTACACATGGGAGATGGAGTGTCATGTTTGAGGAAGAGTAAGTAAACCAGTGTGGCTGAATTGTAGAGTGTATAGACAAAATTAAAGTATAAGAAGGCTAAAAAGATCATCCACTTATTACTTTTCCCATTTGATGAATGAGAAGACTGAATCTCAAAGAGTTTAGTGACTTGCTCATGGCTATTGAACTAGTAAGTGACATAGGTGGAAGGTGAATCCAAACCTCCTGGCTCTCATTCCTCAATACTCTTCAGATTGGTTACTAGACCCTGCACTCTACTGAAACTCTTCTTTCCAAGATTTCTCTTGACCTCCAAGTTGGACAATCCAGTTACTTCTTTTTCAGGAGTTTCATCCTCTTTGACCTTTCTATAGCATTTGGTGCCCCTTAATTCTTAATCCTCTCTGATCTCATGACTTCTGCCATACTATGCTCTCTCTCCTTGTTCTCTTCTACATGTCTAACTGATCTTTCTTGGTTGACTTTGTTAGGCAGTTAAGAGTAAGAGAGTAAGCTTCCTTTGAGGAGTTCAAGTTACCTGAGCCAGCTGAACTCCATTCTAGGGTACCAAAAGTGCTGGTAAAAGTGATGGCAGATGACCCACTGCTGGTGATTTTTGAAAGATAGTGAAGAATGGGAGAAATGCCTGAGGGATTAGGCACAAATTTTGGACAGATTTTGCCTCCATTTTTGTCAAAAGAAAGATAATGTATACTAATAGGCTAGTGAGTTTCAATTTGATTCCTGGCAAAATTCTATGATGTATTATTAAAAGGATTATTAGTGTACATGTAAAAAAGTCATTCACAATGATTGAGCATAGTTTCATAAAGAACATGATCATACCACATTCTGCTTAGTTCTATTTCCAATATGTTTACTAAACTGTGTGATCAGGGAAATACTGTAGATCAGGGAGTCAAACTCATATAGAAACAGGGCCACTAACCGGTATACAAGGACTCCTACAGGCAGCATATTGACTTAGAAAATGACAAGTCTGCCTTACTTAAATCCAATTCATGCACAAGTCAAGACATCACTCTTCTGATGTCATTGGTCCTCTTTGAGAATAAAGCACTAGTAACAACAATTATCTATGTTCTATTGTATTTTTATTTATTTTTTTTAATTTCCAAATTACATTTTAATCCGGTTTCTCCTACTCTCGGGAGTGTTGCATTGTGACCCACTGGTTATGTGTTTGACAGCTTTGCTGTAGATAATGTTGGCTTAAATTTTAACACAGAATTTGACAAAGTCTGTCATAATATGTTTGTGGGGAAAGTGAATATATGGGATATAGATGATGGTATAAATATGTGAATCTGGTCAATGGTTGAATGACCAAAACCAGAGAGTAGTCATTAACGGGTCTATATTAATTGGGAAGGTCTTGAGGGAACCTCAGAGATCTGAACTTAGTATTGTAACATTTGACATTTTATCCATGATTTGGAAAAAGAGTTAAATGGTATCCTTATCTTTGTGCACATGGCACAAATTTGGTATGGATATCTAATTTCATTGGATAAAGAGTCAGGATTCAGAAACATCTGAACTGTAAGAAAATTGGGCCAAAAAGAAACAAAATATGATAAAGAATATATGTGAAACCTCACATTTAGGTTAAAAATAATCAACTTCACAAGTACAAGACAGGGGAAGTGTGGCTGTACAGAATTTTGTTAGGAAAAAAATATGTGAATTTTAGTGGATTTCAAAGTTAATGTGAATTAGTGGTGTGGTCAAAAAAGTCACATGATCTTAGAGATGGATTCTAGTCCATTGTCCACACTGGCTCCCTATGTGTCTATGACAAAATATAAAATTGTTTGTTTAGTTTTTTGAAGTCCTTTAAAACTTGGCCCCAACCTTCCAGTCTAAATATATATTACTTTCCTCTTCCACATTCTGCAATCCAGCCTAACTGGTTTTCTTTCTGCATCTCATATACAACCCTCCAACTTCTTTCTCCACACCTTTGCAATGGCTATACCCCATGTCTGGGATTCTTTCCTTCATCATCTCTGTGTCATAGAATCATATGTTAAAAGTAGACTTTCTACATGAAGACTTTCCTAATATACTACCTCCTACAGCCCTCTTTCACAAACTATTATCTGTTTACCACCTTGTATTTATTGTTTTTATTCTATATATACTTATAGATATTCTCGTTTCCTTCTTTAGAGTGTAAGTTCCTTGAGAGTTGAGATAATTTCATTCATTCCAAAGGAATTTGTATCTTTAGTCACCAACCCAATGCTTTTTATGTTGTAGAGGCTTAATTGATTGATTGATTGAGAAAGGCACAATATTCAGGATTAAGGAAGTGATAGATTTTCTACTCTGGTCAGACCACATATGGGGCATTGAGTTTATTTTGGGGTGCCATGATTCAGGGAAGATATTTATCATCTGGAGAATGTATTCAGAAGGGTGCAAGTAGAATGGAGAAGGACTTTGAGTTAAAGTCATGTGAGTATCAGGTGAAGGAACTAGGCTTGTTCCTTCATAGGGAAGAGAAGCATTAGCTGTCTTCTTCAAGTTTTTGAGGTGTTGGCAGATAGAAGAGGGATTGGGTTTTTTTATTGGCAACAGAGGGAAGAATTGGGAGGAATGGACAAAAGTTGGCAAATGGCAAATTTAGGCTTAATGTAAAGAAAAATTTCTTAACCATTAGAGGTATCCAAAATGTTATTGGACTGCCTAAGAAGTAATGTGTTTACCTTCACTGGAGATTTTCAAGTAAAACTGGATGATTAGTTCTCAGGTATGTTGTATGATAAATAGTTTTTCTACTATGTGTTATATTAGATGGAAATTGTAGTCTTTCCCAACTCTGAAGTTCTTTGATTTTGTGATTCCTATATCTTCTCTCAAACTGTGCATGTGTATGTGTATGTGTTGTGTGTGTGCACACACGTGTGGCCCCTGTTGAAAGGCCTTGTCCTTGGTCTTCTTTTCTCTACAAATCTCAGGAAGACCTGAGTTCAAATTTAGTCTCAGATGTTTACTAGCTGTGTGACCCTGGGAAAGTTACTTAACCTTTATCTGCCTCAGTTTTCTCATCTGTAAAAGGGGAATAATTATAGCACCATCTTCTTAGGGTTGTGAGGATAAACAGATAACACTTTCAAGGCACTTTGCAAACCTTGAAGCACTATAGAAATGTTAGCTATTATTATCTCTATGAGGTCTTTCCTCCATTAAATCTTCTCTTCTTAATGTGATCACACAATACATACAATTTTCTAGAGCACATTGTCTAGATTATGGTTTTGCCTTTATCTCATTTTATCTCGTATCACCCTTTTTTGTATACATGTTGTATATTTACTGTTAGATTGTAACTTCTCGGAGAGCAGGGATTATGTCATTTTTCATCTTTGTATCATCATTAAGAAACTCTGCACACAGTAGATGCCCAATAAATATTTATTGCTTTGAATTATTTCCTTTTTCCCAACACCAAATGGTTTCTAATCACCACAATATTTTAGAGTGTAAAGGAGTCTTAAATAACAACTAGCTCCATAAATAGTCCTGGATTTGGAATCAAAAAATGTGGGTTCAAATCATGGCTCTGATACTTACTAGTGATATGATCTTGTAAAAATCACTTGAACTGCATGGGCCTCATTTTCCTTATTTGTCAAATTAGGAGGTTGCACTAGATGATCATAGAATACTTTCTAGCTCTAAATCCTATGGGTCATAAAACACAAAACTGAAGCCCATAAAGGCAAGATGACTTGCTTAAAGTCAGATAGCTAGTTACTGGAAGTCAGTCATAGAACCCAAGTCTTCTGGACTCCAAATCTAGGCTCCTTCTACAAAATCATGCAGTTTCCCGAACCTTCCCTTCCAACTGCAGTTGAATATTTTGGGGGAAGATACTGCTGTTGTCTATATTCCGTTCCATTTAAAAACACAGAAATACCAAAACAGCAAAAAGACCATTTCTCTCCTTTAATTCAATATTTATTTTTATATTTATTTTATTTATTTTTTATTAGTATTTTTGTTTATTCATTTTATTTTTTATTTTTTATTTAGTATTTTATTTTTATTTAGTATTTTATTTTTCCCCAGTTACATGTAAAAATAATTTTTAACATTTGTTTTTAAAACTCTGAGCTCCAAATTCTCTCCCTTCCTCCTTCCTTACCCTCTACCTCCCCATTGAGAAGACAAGTAATTCAATATAGGTTATAAAGGTGTAGTCATACAAAACATTTCCATAATAGTCATGTTGTGAAAGAAAATGTAAACAAAAAAACCCTCAAGAAAAAGTATGCTTCAAACTGCATTCAGATACCACCAGTTCTTTCTCTGAGGGTGGCTGGTGTTTTTCATCCTAAGTCCTTCAGAGTTGTCTTGGATCATTGTATTGCTGAGAACAGCTAAGTCATTCACAGCTAATCATCTTACAATATTGCTGTTACTTTGTACACAGTACATTTCACTTTGCATCAGCTTATACAAGTCTCTCCAGGCTTTTCCAAGATCATCCAACTTATAATTTCCCATAGCACAGTGGTATTCCATCACAATCACATACTACAACTTGTTCAGCCATTCCCCAATTGATGGGCATCCTTTCAATTTCCAAATCTGTGCCTCCAGAAAAGAGCTGTTATAAATATTTTTTGTACATATAGCTCCTTTTCCTTTTTGATTTTTATCTCTTTTTCAATACAGAAGTAGTTGCAACACACATTTATTAAGTTTCTATTATGTGTAAGATACAATGCTAGGCACTGGAATACAAAGACAATAATAAAACATAATCTGTCCTCAAGGAGCTTATATTCTATTGGGGTTAGATATAACATGTAGGCCTGAGTACATATAAAATAATTTTGAAGAGGGAGTATTAACCCATGAAGGTTTCCCAGAGGAGGTCATACCTACATTGAATATTGAAGGAAAGAGAAGATTCTAAGAGGTGCAGAGGAAGCCAAGGAGAACATTCTTGGATTGCAGGACAGTTATGCAAAGATAGAAAGGAAGGAGGAGGAAGTTAGGGGAAGCACTTGTAGTCTAGTTGCTACACAGACCCCATAAAGGTGAGTGATGTATAGTAAGGATTATGGAAAAACTAAACATTCAAGGCTGAGAAGTTTATCTTTTCTTTAGAGTAAGGAAATAACATCATCAGACCTGTACCTTGGGAAAATTATTTTAGCCACTGTGTCAAGATGATTGAAGAAAGGAGTGGCTAAAAATAGAGACCAATTAGAAAGCTATTAGACTATTATTTCAGGGGAGAAGTGAATAAGGCCTAACTAGGCCTCATGGCAATATGGTAGATAGAGTGGTAGACTTAGGGTCAGGAAGGCTTGGCTTTAAATTCTATCTTCAAAACTTCTTAGCTGTACAATTTTAGACAAGTCACTTACAGTCTATGTCAGTTGTAGTCATTGTTATTGTCAGTCATGATGAACAGAGAGATGAAGAGAGATTGTAGGAAAGTTCTGGCTGTAGTTTAACAAAAGTAGGTTTGGCTTGGATATGGTTGGTGAGGCAAAAGTCAAGGATGGATCTGTGGGGGTGAGAATTAAAACACGGTTGATGATGGACTAAGATGCATTGTATGCTAAAAAAAAAAAAAGAATGTCACTTTAAGAGACCTCAGCTGAGTTACAAGGTTCTAGGAGCCCTAAAAATGATCATGCTTGTATTCTCATTATGTTTCCACTTTCACATTTCCCCAATATATTACTTTATCTTTTTATTATATTATTTATGCTTGCCTATGTGAACATTAATATAAATACCATTGTTTCAAAATAAAGCAATGATGCATTCTTCATTGGAAGAATGATAGTGCCCTCAATAAAAAAGTAAGGAAGTTTGAAAGACGTTTTAAGGGAAAAGATAATGATTTAAATTTTGAACATGTTGAATTCAAGATGCTGATGAGACATGTTCAGGTAAGTAAGTCCATTAGGCAATGAATAATGAGGGACAGGTTCAGAAGAGAGATTAAAGTTTTTATTGTTTAGTGGTTTTTCAGTCATGTTCAAATCCTTGTAATCACATTTGGGATTTTCTTGGCAAAAATACAGAAGTGGTTTGCCTTTTCCTTCTCCAACTCAATTTACAGCTGAGAAAACTGAGGCAAACAGGGTTAAGTGACTTGCCAGGGTCACACATCTAGTAAACGTAGCTTACCAAGTAAGATTTGAACTCAGGAAGATGAGTCTTCCTGACTCTGGGCCTGGTACTCTATTCACTGCAATGAATGATGAGAGACTTGAGTTCAGGAAAGAAATTAAAGTTAGATACATTTATTTGGGAGCTATTTCCATGCAGATGATATTTCAACAAGTAGGAATTAAGAGCAGTGAGAGAGGTTATTTAATGAGTGGAAAGTCTAGAGTAGACTGTTAGGGGACACACATGCTTGGGGGGTGGAAAGTACATGACATCAGGCAAAGAAGTCTAAGAAATAGCAATCAGATAGAGGATGAACAGGCAAGAACAGTACTACACAAGCTAGAAGAAAGGGATAGTCAACTGTTAAAAGTTGAGGATGGATGAGGACTGGAAAAGACAATTATATTTAACAGTTAAAAGATTGTTGTTAAATTCAGGGAAATTGGTTTCAGTGGAACTGTGAGATTCTAAGTTAGATTCTAAATGGTTGAAAACTAAGAATTGAGAACTAAGTGGGTGGTTAAAAAAAAAAAAGTAGAGGCAGTAAGACTTCACTATAGTAGATAGAAGGAAATCTTACCAAGGAGAGAGAATCTTCTTCTCCAGTACCTCTATTATGCTATTTTCCCAACTAAATACATACAAACATACACACACACACACACACACACACACACACAGAGTGCTTTAAGGCTTCTAAAGTTCTTTGCAAATATTATCTCATTTTATCATCACAGTAACCCTGGGAAATAGCTGCTATTATTACCCCTATTTTTATTGATGAGGAAACTGAGGCAGTCAGAGGTTAAATCACCTGCCTAAAGTCACACAGCTATTAAGTGTTTAAGGCCAGATTTGAATTTAGATCTTCCTGATTCCAGATCCCTTATTTTAACCATTGTGACACATACCTACCCAGAAAACATCCCAAAATGTATTTAAAATTCTGCTTTTTAAAATCAAATGAAAAAAATTATACCTTGAATCACTTAGTAAAATAAATTTCTGATCTTTTTAAAAATAATTGTAGATTTAAAACCAGAAGGGACCTTACAAGTTCCCTCGTCCCTTAAAAAACGGATGAGTATACTGAGTCCTGAAGAGATTAAATCAATTTCTTGAGGGTATAAGGTAAGAAATACCATGGCCAGGATTCAAATCCAGATTCTCTGACTCCAAATCCAGTGCTCTTTACTATGTTGTGTTTCTAGTGCTAGATTACTCAATAGACGCACTAGGTACACGTCAAGAAACTTCCAAAGTTGGAGAAATGAATCGGAAAACAGAAGTCAAATAGACAATTATTCAGAGATCTCCTGCTATATGGTACCATTTTCAAGCCATTTCTTTACACGCTGGCCATGTCCACATCCATCTGTACCAACCATTCTTTAATTGCAACAATGGAACCCTGTCTTTTCAGTCTTGACATAGCACAGAAACTGTGCTTGAGGGATAAATTCTAGAGAGTTTTATGGTGATGAGGCTGTCCAAATGTCGCCAAGCTAGCCCTCAGATTATAAATACCCAGTTTATCAGATGTCCCATATTTTCCAACTTGGGAGGAGGTGCCAGAGTTTGCAGTTATTTGGCATAGCCTTTGAGTACCCAGGGTCATTTCCAAACCATGATAAGGCATCAGAGGAGAGCTCTAGTGACAGCCTGGTGATTGTTTTTTAAGTATAAATTATGGGAGAAGATTTTCAAAGTCTTGGTGTCAATGGACCATAAAGGATCATAATCTGTCATTGCTGGATTCCAGATATTTACTCCAATTTATTATTTGAAACCAGTGGGACAGTACTCAGTACCCTAATGTGTTTTTATTCTTATTTTACAGGAGAAATTCAAGAAGACCAATTGATGCATTGTGGAGCAAGTGATTGTTTTACAACCAGCACACCTACAAACAATACTAAGCGCCCAACAAATGATTTAGTCTACACCCTGCTGGGCATCTATACTGGTATGTGCCTAGAGTAAATACCAATTAGTTATCAATAGTAAGACAACTCTGCGCAACCAAAATTCTCTTCCTTTTTCTTCTGTTTACCCAAAAAAGAGCCACCTCCCAACATTAAAGAATTTCTCTTCTAGAATGTGTCTGATGAATTTGTGAAGGGTTGGTTTGCTTTGGCAGGTCTTTCTCGTGTGAAGTTAGATATATCAGAGTTACTCTTACCCCAGTGTATTGTCAAAGCTAAGCCTAATGATTCATTGGTGAAATAAACAGGAATGAAAGGCTCAGTGAACCTAAACTGTCACGTTTAGTGGTAGTCTCCCCGTAGTTCCAGAAGAAGCTTGTGTACACAGCCCTGTAGCATTTAGTGGTTATGCCCATTCCCTTCTGTCTTCAGCTTTCTTTCAGACCAGAATCTTGGGCTCTGGTTCATGCAAGGCATCTTATCTTTTATGTCTTCAGAGAATGACTCTGTAGATCCCTGCTTGCCAGTTGGTGTTCACAGAATCCAGAGAATTATTCTAAACAATTCAAATGATGAGAGGTTGGGAATTGCTGATTAAGAGTCAACTTGCAGGCAGTGCTTACATAGATTTCTGTGAGACAGTATTTCTGAGGTCCCACTTGTGTCTGAGATTAAAAAGTGCTACAAAATATAATAAATTACCCTCACAATCAGGAAACAGTAGCCATGTTTCATTTATAGGGTTGCATAATTGAAACAGTGGTAAGACAATAATGCACCACTCATCCTAAGATCCAGTTCTAATTCCAGTAAGTTCTGAAATCTCTAGATAAACAGTTAAGGACAATTGATGTGAACAAAAAACTAAGGTCATATTTACCTGATCTCTCTGCTTAAAGATGGCAACCTTTATAACACCCCTTTGTGTTCTAGGCTAGTTATGTCAACCATATAAGAGAAATATAAAGAAGAGATTACATACCAGTGCTTCTCAAACGTTTTCTGCCAAAGATTCTTCTTAGTATCCAAGAGGCAATGTGGTACAAAAGTAAAAACAGGATGGGGCTGCACTGCAGGACTGAGTTTCAATCTTACCTCTTCCCCTAGCTAATTAGTGGAAGCTAGGGGAAGACCTCAGTTTCTTCATCTGTAAAATGAGTGCACTGGACTTGATAACCTCAACAGTATCTTCTAGTACTGTTGATCCTATGATCCAGTACGGTGTGATCCTAGGATCTCTAAAGTCTGCTCCAGCCCTCTGTGCATACTTTTTTTTAGTGTTTTCATGTTTTCCTCCTTCGTTCCATTACAGTGAGTTCATTTTTGACCTTCCTAACTATTGACAGATATCCATCCCATTGTTTTCCTTTCTCCTCTGTACATAAATGGATCACTATGACTTTGCTTTTGCTTGAAGAGCGTATCCCCAAGTGAATTTTAACACCTTCTCTGATGGCTTCTTCTGGTCTGTTTTATAGACAACAAAAAAGTCTTCAGTGACCCTAGGCCACAAATTGGCTTAGATTAAAAAAAAATCTAGAGATCTATTAGCTTTTCAAATCTAAAAATGCAAAATAGAAATAATACGCATAAAACATAAAGAAACTATTATTATGTTAATTTGAGCCATCAACTCTGCTGAAGATACACATATTTATGATAAAAAGTCATACTTAAAAATGTAATAATATATTGGGAAATAAAAAAATAAAGAGTATACTATCACAAGGAAAAAAATTCAGACTCCTAAATCCTCTATTCCTATGAGAGTCTCTTTTAAAAAGTAATTTTTTTTTGAAGCATATAATATATTTTTTTCTCTTGTGGCCATGTTCTAATTGTCACCTCTCCTGAGTTGCTTTGGTAACTAAACTTTACGTAGAAGCAAGACAGGTCTGAGACTCCATATATTTATATGTAACATCCTTGGCAGCTTATCTATTTCTCATTTCCTCTTCTTTTCAGGAAAGTGTTTCAACATCCCATTAAGCAATTTTTAAACTAAAGATCCTAATAACATCATGGAACCATGGGAAGAGAATTCTATGCAATAGGTGAAGATAAGAGAATTCTATGTTTATATAAAGAGAAATCAGCTAATGGAGTTGACTTAGAAATGTACTATAATAATTAGAAATCTATGAGAGAGAACAGTGTGAATGACTCAGGTACATGGACTAAAAGAAACTTTTTTACATCACGACTAGTAAAATATTATGCCTTTGTATTATAAAGATGAGAGATCAATGAAGTGACAGTGAGCATAATCTCTTGAGACTTTCAAATAGTTCTCAATAAGATTCCATTCTAATTCATTAGCACCATCGAATTAACATGATTTTTGGAAAGACATGGAGTTGGGGCAAGTGGTAAAGATATATTTGGTCATGGAAAATGCACTGACTGACTCAGCCACAAGAAACAAAGAGTAAGAATGAATGAGAACTGCTCTAAATGAAGCAGTGCTTTAAAATGCCGATCCTAAGAGATCAGTGCTGAGACTGGTCATAGTGAATTTTATGAATGTTCTAGAAAAGGCCATATTCGTTGAAATCTAGTTTTCAGTTATCTGAAAACTTTCACATCTGGCTTTTCCAAGTAGTGAAATGTAAAACCTATTGGGACAAATTGGAAGAAGGTTATAAGTCAATACGTTTCAGTATGAGTTAGTGTAAGGTAAAGAAATATACGAGAAGCTAGGTGGTGCAGTGGATAGAGCACCAGGCCCTGAAGTCAGGAGGACCTGAGTTCAAATCCGGCCTCAGACCAAACACTTGACACTACTAGCTGAATGACCCTGGGCAACTCACTTAACCCCAATTGTCTAAATATACATATATACATATATATATATATATGTATATATGTATATATAATCCTATGGATTCCTAGAATGTTAGAGATGGAAGAGCTATTAGATATTATGCAGCCCAATTTCTCCCTCAAGCATAAACTGCCTCTACAAGCTCCCCAATGAGTTCACACCCAGGGGTTCACTCAAAGACCACTGGTAATAAAGAACTTATTGGAAGTTCCCTTGCAAAGTGCCATTCAAGTTAGTATGCAGTATATTTTTGTGCATCATTAGTTAATTTCCACACCTCCAGGTTGCTCAGATTGCTATTGGATTCTAGAAAGAGTCACTATTCCAAAAGGCATGGGTTCCATATTCTGTGATGTCCACAACATTTAACAAAAAGTCACATTTAGATCACAGTTGTCATATTAGGTTTCTTTTGTCTCCATAGGAAGTGGTATTTTGGCAGTGTTACTGGTAGCTGTATTTCTTGAGCAGATCCCAAATGATCAACTGGAAAATGCAGAAGAAAAGAAAAAAGCATCTTTTGGGCTCAATTTCCTGGCAACTTTTAGGCATCTTAAAGATAAACAGCAATGTCTCCTCATTCCACTGACAATGTATAGTGGCTTTGAGCAAGGATTCCTTTCTGGTGACTATACAAAGGTACGGGAGAAAATGAAAATCATATGCATAACTAACGATGATGTGTGTGTACTATTTCTACCAATGACTTAAGTGGATTCTGCTGAGAGGCAGGGCAGATACAGGGGCAACTGTGAGTCCTAGATGTGTTTCCCTCTAATAATTAATATCAAATGAGGAATTAAACAGGGATACAGAGGTTTGCCAAGGGATTTGACATGGTCATGAAGAATATTCAGTGCAATATCCAAATGGAAGAGTTTTATTGTGGATGGTTGGGTCCCCCACATGCATCTGTGTATGGACAACTTTGTCTGGACTAAATCAAGACTTGAGCATTGTAGAATCTCTAAATTAGAAGCATAATTACTCTAAAGATATTGACCTGAATCCATATAAGAAAAACAAGTGGATGAAGAATGCCTATTGAAAGGCTGTGATAAGCAGTTGGATAGAAGACCTGGTCCATCAATACATCTGGCTTGGATAGACACTGTGCATGAACAATGAGCTGCACCCAGAATTGAATAGGAAAAGGAGGAGAGAAACCTGGGTTTCTTTGGGGAAACTGAGTAATGTTTTCAGTGATCCTGAGTTAGTCCCTGAGTGATCTCCCATCTCATCGACCACAACAAGAATAAAAGCTAGCATTTACCTTAAGGTTTGCAAAGCGCTTTACAAATATTATCCCATTTCAACTTCACAATAACCTGGTGAGGCAAGTGCTACTATTATTCCTCATTTTATAGTTGGGGAAACTGAAGAAGACAGAGTTTAAGTGACTTAGTGGCCCAGCATCACAGAACTAATAAGGCTCTGAAACTGTACTAGAACTCAGGTCTTCCTGATTCCAGGGCCAGTATTCTACCCATTGTACCACTTTAGCTGCCAATATTCTTGTGTTGATGCAATGACTGTGAGTCATGAAATGCCACCATCTCTGAAGAATTAAGATTGATGATCATCCAAAGACCAATAGAAAGGTGGGTATGAACACACTCCAACACATTAGCAGCCAAGAATATACAGATATGTATGATAGAAAAATAAGTATGGACAAGTCATTTATTGAAAATGAGGGATATGTGGTCCACAGGTCCTTTCTGCCTTACTAGGCAGAAGGATACATAGTATCCTTCTCCCCTTGCCTTTCTGCCCCTGGTATTTTGGTTGGCTGCCATTTTGTGCATTTATAGGAGGATATGGACAAGAGTCAACTTGTAAGCAGTATTATTTTCATCCGGGGAGATTTGAGATTGCACTTCATGAAGGAGACAACAGTTGATCTGAACCTGAAGAAAGATTTCACCGCATAGAGGAATGTGAAGGGCACTTTATGTTTTGGAGATGCAGCATAAAATTTAGGGGATCTGATTTCATTGCATCTTTTCTGAACGCAGCTTGCATGCTGAATATCACCTCAGTCAGGAAAGCCTCAGTCAATCAATATATACAAATGGAATGAAGTTTTAATATAATATCTCAAAGCTACACATATAGGACATTTATTTATTTTTGAAGACATATCCTAGACACAGCTAGTGACATAAATACAAGGACAATTTTAGATGGGAGGTTTATTTGGGGGCTTTCACTCTACAACCAATTACAGCAGAAGATTGTTACCTGGTGTCATTGCAACAACACACACACATACACACATACACACACACATACACTTTCTAGCAAAGAAGGCCATAGACTCCCAGATGCATTTGGTCAACCTGGTTTCCTTTCTTGAGGGATACCTCAATTTACGGAGAGGCTGGACTAAAACAGCCAGTACCTAACCTGTTATGCAGGCTGAAATGTACTTCCACAGCAGATGTCAAGCCTAAAAGCCAGCTTACCTCACAGAGTCCTTTAAATAGGCAGTGCTTTTTGGACTATTTGGCAACCACCCTGGAATGGGTATGTACCCAGGATCTCAGGGCATCTCCCTTGAAGATTAGAGCTAGTCAGACCCTTTCAGTTTAGACTCCCCTGTTCCTAATAGCCTTCCCTCCTTCCTAAAGGTAACATTAGGATTATGTGAACTGGAGAATTTGCAATGTGAGGTAAATAAAGGGCATAGTAGAGCTGTGAGTTGGTTCTAAGCAGGTGGGATCTGGCCTCTCTCATCTTTCCTATTAATAAGCCTTTTCTCTCTCTCTTGTCCCTAGCCCTATCTTGTGTACCATTCTGTTAATTAACTCATAAAGAATTAGAGATGAGAACTTTTGGGGTTTTTTATTTTAATTAAGAGCTCTTAAAAACCAAGATGTCTCTCAGAAGAATGAAATTGTAGAGCTAAAATTATATGAAAGATGAGCTTGATTTCTACCTTTCTCCTCTCCCAACATCAGGGTGGGGATGAGACAGATAAGGTTGGGAAAAATGAAAAGTGAGGCATGGATTCTGGAGATTGTTATCTGACCTTTCACCGGGGTTAATCCAGTGTCCTCCTTATTCACAAAAGGACAATGTCCCATCTCCTTCCCATTCTAGAGAGAGAGTGACAAAGAATAGTTGACATTCCTAGAGAGTTTTACTAAGGTTTATAAAGCACTTTACACACATTACTGAGAGACCAGAGGAATGTTGTAGATTTAATTTAACCAGACTTTAGAAAAACATTTGACAAAGTCTCTCATCTTCTATGCAATGGATGGAAGGCTATGAGTTATAAGGAATAAAATTAAGTGAACTTGGAACTGGTTTAATGGCTTTACTTAAAATGGCAGTCATTACCAGTCAGCTTCAACTGCACATGTCTTAAGCTGTTTAGCATTTATATAATGACTTGGAAAAAGGCCATGCTTATAAAATTGCAGATGACCCACAGCTGAAAGGGATACCTGACTTACTAAATAACTAATGGAGTCAGGATTCAAAAAGATCTTGACAGACTGAAACAATGGACTGAATCAAAAAAGGTGAAATTTAATATGAATATCCACTTAGGCAGCTAGGCAGCACAGAAGATATAGGGATGGGCATATAGTCACCAGCCTAAAATCCTGACTAGCTGTGTGACCCTGGGCAAGTAACTTAATTTGTTTTCATATTTCCTTGTCTGCAAAATGGGGGTGATAATAATAACACCTACCTCCTATGATTATTGTGAGGTTGAAATGAGATAATATTTGCACAGAGCCAAAATAGCTACTTCTATTAAATTGTAAGTGTAAAGTCTTACATTTTTATTTTTAAAATCAATTTCACAAGCACAAGATTAGCAAGGCATGGCTATATAGCAATTAGTCTAAAAGAAATAAAAAAGGTTTTAGGTTACTGTAAGCTCAACAAAATCAAAAGTCTCAGCCAAGGAAGCTCATAAAGTGTTGACATGCATTGAGAGAAATAGGGAGGTAATAGTTCCACTCTACTCATCCCTGGTCAATTCAATTTATCAGGTAGAAGAGAAGAGAAGAGTGAAGACTGAGAAAAATCCATTAGATTTAGCCATTAGGAAATCATTAATAACCTTATAGAGAGATTTCAGTTGATCTATAGAGTGAGACATCATGTTAAAAGGGTATAAAAATGGGTAAAAGTAAGGAAGTAGAGGAAATGAATGTAGATAACTTTTTGTTTTGAGTTTAGTAGTGAAAGGAGAGAGATAGGGGGCAGTAGCTTGAGGAGTCAAATGAAAGTTGTTTTTGAGAATGGGAGAGATCTTGATGTATTTTTGACACTAGGGAAGGATAAAAAGGAAAGATAAAAACCTTAGATCAGAAAAAGGAAGAATGAACAAAGGGACAAGTTTATAGAGGAAATAGGAGCAGATAGGATTCAAGGGCACAGATCTTAGAGCCTGAGGATAAGGTGGGTTGAAACATATACCAAGGAGCTGGAACAACCACAAGTTTATTTTATTTTATTTTATTTTCTGTTATTTACTTTTATTTTTTCTCAATTACATGTAAACAAATTTTTTTAACATTTGGTTTTTTTTTTAAATTTGAATCCAAATTATTTTTCTCCTTCCCTTTCCCTCTCCTTGAAAAGGCAAGCAGTCTGATATAGATTATACATGTACAATCAAGCAAAATATTTCTACATTAGCCATGCTGCAAAAGAAAACAGATTTTTAAAAAAAGGAAAACAAAACTATGCTTCAATCTGCATTCGTATTCCATTAGTTTTTTCTCTGGAGATGGATAATATTTTTCATCATAAGCCCATTGGAGTGGTATTGGATCACTATATTGTTGAAGATACCTAAGGTATTCACAGTTGATCATCATACAATATTATGCTATTACTGTGTACAATGTCCTTCTGGTTCTGATAATTTCACTTTGTATTTTACTTCATGTAATTTTCCCAGGTTTTTCTGAAAGCATCATATTTCTCATTTCTTATAGTACAATAGTATTTCATTACAATTATATATGACAACTTATTAAGCCACTCCCCAATTGATGGGCATCCTCTCAATTTCCAATTCCTTGCCATCACAAAAAGAGCCGCTCTAACTATTTTTGTCCATATTAGTCTTTTTCTTTTTTTCTTTGATCTCTTTGGACTACAGACCTACTAGTGCTATTGCTAAGTCAAAATGTAGGCCCAATTTTATAGCCCTTTGGGCATAGTTCCAAATTGCTCTCCAGAACGGTTGAATTAATTCACAACTCCACCAATGATGCATTAGTATCCTTATTTTTCCACATCCCCTCCAACATTTGTCATTTTGTTCTGTCATATTAGCCAATCTGGTAGGTATGAGGTGGTACCTCAGAGTTGTATTAATTTTCATTTCTCTAATCAATAGTGATTTAGAGCATTTCTTAATATGACTACAGATAGTCTTCGACCATTTGTGAATTGGGGAATGACTTGTGTTCTTATAAATTTGACTCAGTTCTCCATATATTTGAGAAATGAGGCCTTTATCAGAGATATTTACTGTAAAATTTTGTTTTCTGATTTCCTGCTTCCCTTCTAATTTTGGCTACATTGGTTTTGTTTTGTGCAAAAACTTTTTAATTTTACATAACCAAAATTATCCATTTTCTTTCTGTAATGCTCTCTATTTCTTATTTAGTCATAAATTCTTCCCTTATGCATAAATCTGACAGGCAAAATATTTCATGCTCCCCTAATTTGCTTATGATATTATTCCTTTTGTCTAAATAATACATCCATTTTGACTGTCACAGTCAACACAGTGAGATGTTGTTCTATAACTAGTTTCTGCCAAACTGCTTTCCAGTTTTCTGAGCAGTTTTTGTCAAATGATAATTTCTTATACCAAAATCTTGGATCTTTGGATTTGTAAAATAATAAATTGCTATAGTCATTTACTATTGTGTATTGTGTACATAACTATTTCACTGATCCACCATGCTATTTCTTAGTAAATACCAGATTGTTTTGATGATTACTGCTTTGTAATACATTTTGAGATCTGGTATGGCTAGGCCAAATTCCTTCATATTTTTTTTTCATCAGTTCTCTTGATATTCTTGTCCTTTTGTTCTTCCAGATGACTTTTGTTATTATGTCATCCTAGCTCTATAAAATATTTTTGGTACTTTGATTGACTTGGTACTATAATATGTAAATTAATTTAAGTAGAATTATCTTCTTTATTATATTTATTCAGCCTACCCACGAGCTATTAATATTTCTCTGGTTGTTTAGATGACTTTATTTCTGTGAAAAGTGTTTTGTAATTGTGTTTATATAGTTCTTGGGTTTGTCTTGCCAGGTAGACTCCCAAGTATTTTATATTGTCTACAGTTATTTTAAATGGAATTTCTCTTTCTTTCTCTCGCTGCTGGGTTTTGTTGGTAGTATACAGAAATGCTGATGATTAATGTGAGTAACCACTAGTTTATAAAAATAGTTTCTGAAAATCTTTTACATCTATTCAAACAGGAAATCTTTTTCTACTTCTCATTTCCTGTTGAGATTTTTATCATTTTTATCATCTTCCTTCATTGTCTTTATGGGAGTCAGCTAGGTGGCACAGTAGACAGAGTAATGGATGCAGGGACAGAAAAATTAATTTCATTTCTGCCTTAGACACTTCTTTAGCTATGTGTCCTTGGGCAAGTCACTTAACCTCTGCTTGTCTCAGTTTCCTCAACTCTAAAATGGAGACAATTATAGCAGCTATCTCATAGGGTTGTTGTGGGGATCAAATGAGAGAATATTTCTAAAGTGCTTATCAATAAGTGCCTGACACATAGTAGGCACTTAGTAAATGCTTGTTCCCTTCCTTCCCTTCCCCAGTAATCAAGGCTATAAATAATGATCAGCTCCATCAATCATCTTCTGACATTGTCCCTGAAGAAAACAACATGGATATATTCGTAGAAGAGGGATTGGGTTGAATTTTGTCAATGAGCCTTGAATTCAGTTCATTTTTCTTTGCATCCAAATTCCATGTGTAAAATTTAGCATTACCCTTGGAACACAAGGAGCTAGATAGTGAAAGAAGATTTCAGGCTAAATTAATATGTCATCCATCAAATGGCAGAATGGGTTAAAGCATGATTTAGAATCCCTTCTGAAAAAAGCTTAATTCTCAAACTGTGGCAATTAAAAAGCAATGAAGTAGCTAGAGCTGGTCTTGTAACCAAGAAAGTCTGTGTTCAGATCCTACCTCTGACCCATCCTGACTGTGTGACCCTGGGTAAATCACTTAACCCCTCAGGGCTCTAGGTGCAGGACATCTCCAGTTGTCCTGATCTATATCTTGCCTCTGGACCCAAATGGCTCCAGAGAAGAAAGCGAGGCCGGTGACTTTGCACAGCCCTCCTTCACTTAAATCCAATTCACTTGCAAGTCATGGCATCACCTTGCTGATGTCATGGTCCTCTTCAAGAACAAATGACAGGGGTAGCTAGGTGGTACAGTGGATAGAGCTCTGGCCTTGGAGTCAGGAGGACCTGAGTTGAAATCCGGCCTCAGATACTTGATACTTACTAGCTGTGTGACCCTAGACACATGACAACTCCAATTGCCCAAGCAAAAAAAAAAAAAAAAAAAAAAAGGAAAAACAACAACAGGGCTCTAAGCTCTCCAGGACTGTAGTTATGGAGAAAAGGCTAAGCTACATTGGTTGAGTTTCCATCTGGAAGTTTCTTGTAGTCATGAAATCACAGGTTCAGTCCCCATCCAAGAAGAACAGTCATGAGTGCAAACATCATTGTAACATTTCCCTCTTTCCTCTTCAGTCATATGTCACCTGTGCCCTGGGGATACAGTATGTTGGCTATGTGATGATCTGTTTTTCGGCCACCAATTCCATTTGTTCTTTGCTGTTTGGAAAGCTCTCCCAGTACACGGGCAGAATAGCTTTGTTTGTACTAGGTATGTAATAATTTTTATTCTTTGTAAGTAGTAATAAGAAGTTGCTATCGTTTTATGTCTGGAGATGATTCTTCTAACACATTAAGCAGCATGGTAGGATAAAGGGCCCTGGTTCTTGCTTGAACTCTTTACCATTAATGCTAGTATTAATTAATTAATGCTATTAATTAATTAATTAATGCTACTATTAATGACAATTAGCATTTATATAGTGCTTACTATGTGCCTAGTACCATGATAAGTGCTTTTTTACATATATTATCTCAGAACAAAAACAAAGCAAAATTATCCAATAATGCTGATGATGTATAATTGTGGGGATATGCTGTAGGACCCCAATAAAACTTAGGAGAAACCTAGAGGTAAACTTAGGGAACATTTGTCTGGGACGGACCTTAAAAACTACCTAGTCAAATCCTCTTATTTTACAGATGAAAAAACTGAGGCCTAAGAGGTGAAGTGACTTATCAGAAGTCACAGACAGTAAGTAGTAGAGCTAGGATTTTAACAAAGGTAGTTTTCTTGCTCTAAATCCAAGGCCTTTTCCTTTTGCTTTCTTGCATGTCAATATGGAAATTGGGAGACTAACATGGGAAAAAGACTCATTTATTAAGACATTGTTATTTAGATTGTTATAAGTCTATTCACTGCTGCCACCATGCCTACAAATGTAGGCTTCCTTCCCAGCCTGCGATGCTCTAGCATACTTCCTTTAGTCATTATCTAAGACTTCAAATTTCATAGATTTTATTATTTTAGTTAACAAAGGAGAAGAGAACAGAGCTCAATGTGAATGATAATAAGCAAGGATTTGAACTATGAAATTGGAAACAGATACCCAATCAAAGCCTGAAAGAATTGGAAGGTGGAAGAATTCAGCATTGGGATATGTGGGCAGGCACTTTCCCATTCCAAAGATATATATTTTGTAGAGAAACAAAAAAGTGGCTTATGATTGAGAAGCTGTGATAGACATCATGCAGAAGTCACAATTGTCAGAAACATTGTGAGGCAGCATGATGTGGTAGTAGGAACCCTCAATTTAGAAAGCTTTTCTCGGTCCCTAATAGTTAACTTAGCTGTGTTTTCCTCCTTTACTGGCAACTGTCCTAGGTCCTAAAATTGCAGACTACTACTGATGATGAGCTCTCTTTTTGGGTCTGATCCTTATTAACCCATTGGCTGTCTCAGGCTCAAGGTTTCCCTGTTTTGATGTTTTCAGTTTAGTTTTCAAAGTCAGTGAGCCAATCAATTAACCAGTTAATCAACAAGCATTTACTAATTGACTATTATGTACCAAGCCATATTCTAAGTGGTAGGGGTACAAAAAAAAAAGGCAAAAACAAAAAAAAATCTATGGATGTTAAAGTAGACCTAGAATCTCTATGGTAGATTTGTATTGATCAGAAATTCTGCATCCCAGTAACATCTGTGCTTTGTCTTAGTACAAAAAGGAGACTTATAAAAGGTCAAATACTAGTTTAGACTCAGTGAAGTGGGTGCACACCAACCTGCTCATTTTTTGAAGGAAAATTGGACAAAGAAAACCTGGAAGGATATTTTAAGATCAAGGAATGAGTTCCTTCTGCAGATCTAAATTCCACAACCTGCTCTTTAACTGATTTTCAGTGATCATTTGTTTCCTTTTTATATTTCTGCTCTCTCTTCAAACTCATAGCTGCAGTAATACACCTTTCCTGCATCATCTCCCTCTTGCTGTGGAAACATCACCCCAGTCAGATGGTTGTATTCTTCATATTTCCTGGCCTCTGGGGCATGGCAGATGCTGTTTTGCAGACACAAACCAATGGTAAGTATCATTCTCTAGCTTTTTCACCTTCTGATCATAAAGACTATGGAGGGTTCCGAAAGGGAGGGCACAGCTGGGAAATCCAACAACAGCTCCATCAGTGATCATTTATTAAATGCCTACTTTGTGCCAGGCACAGTGCGAGACCTTGGGGATACAAATAGAAAGAATTAAATGATCCCCAGTCTAGCTTAGGTTGTAACTGGGAAACAAGAAGTAATACATACATACATATATATATGTGTGTGTGTGTACATACAGAAAATATATAAAGAGAATAAATGCTAATAAATACAAGGTGGTTAAATACAGAGAAATTAGGCAAGGAAGGCACTAGCAGCTGAGATGCTTCATGTATAAAGTGGTGATTAAGTTGTGATAAGAAGGAAGAGAATGATTCTATAAGGAGCAGATGAGAAGGAAGATGGAATACCATGTGTGAGGAACAGAGTGAAAGGCGTTTTGCTTGGATCACAGAGCGTATGTGTGTGGGGGGGTAATGTCCAATGAACTTAGAAAGATAATTTGGGGCTAAGACAATGGAGATGTTTGGGATGGGGATGACAATAGCATCTATTTCATAGGGTTATTGTGAGGATCAAATGAAACCATATATAATAAGCACTTTGCAAATTTTAAAGCATTAAAATGTTATCTTATTATTACTAAAAAGGTAAAGACCTATCTCCTACAGTCATTTTCATCTGCTTTGGAATTTAAAATGACTTTCACAAAAGAACCTGATGTCTTCTTCTGGCTACTAGGGGTCGATATCATCCTTCTAAACCTGGTTCTCCTCAAACTGTTGTAACCTTCCAGAGAGAACACAGTTCTTTCTTTTATCCTTTGTCCTATCCCTTAAAACAATAGAAAAACTTTATTTTGGGTGTTTAAGGGCTTTCCTAGAATAAATGATGGTGTGGGTATGAGGTGGGATTCATCACAACAAAACAAAGAGGAAAGTTTAAAAGAATTACAAGGGTCTTATCAGTCAATTTTGGTGGTATCAGGATACATATAAGACACTAAATAACATTCTTAGTGTCTCCCTTTTCATGGAACTAATCTCCTAATTCTACTAATACTTGTTTGTAGTGTCAACTGAGCTATTTTTATCTGACTTAGATGTTGGATTAGCTTTTGTTTTCAAAACAAGGACTCAGTTTGACAATGCTATCAGAGCCCTAAGCTTTAATAGGTACCCCTTACTGTCCCAGAGAAGACTTTCTTCTTGATTTCTTACATACAAGTAAGAACATATGCTTACTTCCTTTATCCTAAATTAGCAATTAGCACTGCTAGCAATCTTCTAAGAGAAATGAGACATTATTTTAAGAATATGACTTTTTTGAAGGGTAGCATAATATAATATGTATGTGCATGCTTAATTAAATGCATGTTTAACAATTAAAACTTGCTGGGCGCAAAGGATGCTGGGTTGTAAAGCATTGGGAAAGATGCAAAAATAGAGATTATGATCAGATAAAGGAAATCCAGAGTTCTTAAACATGGAATTGTGTGGGTGATTCTCGAATTTACTTCTGCGAATGAATGGATGGATGCTGCTAAATGTTGTTATTGCTTCTTTTGTTTATCCTTGCTTTTGACATATTGCATTTGGTCCAGATAATAATGAGTTAATAACAACATGCTATTATTTTTCACTTCTAGAGAAACATAGAAAAAAAAAAACTTGAACATATAACAGTGATTTAGTACCAAAATTTTGTTGGGAATATTTGGGGAACAGTGGTGTATAAGTGTCTAGTCTCAGAAATAATAATGAAAAAAGCATGGTTTCAGGACAAATTTATCATTGCTTTCTTTTTTTCCTTGCAGCCATCTATGGAGTTTTATTTGTGAAGAACAAGGAAGCTGCTTTTGCCAATTATCGACTTTGGGAGTCCCTCGGTTTTGTCATTGCTTATGGGTACAGCACATTTTTGTGTGTCAGCATCAAGCTGTACATAGTACTTGGGGTACTGATTTTGTCGATGGTGACCTATGGGGCTGTTGAGTACCTGGAACACGGGAAGCCACCTGAGACAGTTGCCAAAAAAAAGGAGAGTCAAGCAGAAGAAATAGTTACTCAAACAAAGATGTAAAAATGACAAGGTGCTTGAGGAGATACAATAAGAAGGCCTCAGAATGGTTTTCTCTGTAGAAGCACCAAAGTATTAAATTATTTTCTCAGAACAGTTTCAGAGTTGGTCACAATACTTCAATATATCTATGATCTCATGGATGTGAGTATTCTCTCCCTCCATTGGTGTAGATCACAACCACCAGGCCTTTTTAATCCTGTATAATTCTTGTCCATACTCTCCCATACATCCTCCACAGGGACTTTGTGCAATATTCTGGAGACATTCTTCTGGATCTTTTTACGTGAGGGGATGGTGAGTGGTAATGTAAATAGCGATATCCGTCCGTTATCCTTTCCTGGCCCACTTCTTTGACTGGGCCACTTTCTTTTCTTATCATACATTTCATATTCTATTTCTTACATGTGGGTCATTATCAGAAATATGCTTCAGCCCACTTAACCTACCTTTTCAGTTATGATTCTTGGAAGACTGTGGTGTTCAGAGATTCGAAACTATACAGCTTTGCTGAAAGAAATTTTGTATAAAAGATTTGGATCTTCAAAGTACACCATTGCAAGTGCACACAATCTTCCAAATGCAATATAACCCTTTTTCTTCCTCCTGTTCAATTCTGGGCCGAAATCATCATCTGTAGTCCCTGTCCTTATATGTACCAAAGCTTAATGTAATGACCATCTAACGTCTTTTCATAGTCTAGATAATAGACATTTTTCATTCTTTCAATTATTTTTTCTGGGTATGTTGTTATATCAATCTTTTGCATAATCATGAACCTAACAGAGGAGGTGTTATGATACTCCCCAAGGCCTAAAAATTCAGGCTAATATCATCTTCAATGAGAAATATCCAGAAGACTTAACATATATCAACATAGCAAATTTAAGAGTTGTGGAATTGGCCACATTCACTTTTAGGTCACTTCTCAGCCTCTAGGATGATCCAGGGAGTAATTCTGGATATTTTCTCAGTAATTAATAAAAAGTATTCTCCTTCATTAAATATTATGTATTTAATAAACTGGAGAAACCTTGTTTTCTTATAAATGATTGCTTATTTATTAAAGCCACTAATCTCCTAGATTTAAACATCATGAGTACTAGCGATATAGTTGACTAGCAATGTAAGCAATGATAACATAAAGACATAAATAATTATTTACAAAGTTTTCACTGTGAGAAATGTCACCCTTAAGTCACCTGAAACTGTAACTGTAACTACAGCTATAGCTGTCTTCGCTTAACCCCTGAAAACACACTCCCATTCAGTTTCTCTCAATAATCTCCTTCATGAGGCAGCTAGGTGGTGAAATGAGTAAGAGCTCTGTACTTAGCATCAGGAAGACCTGAATTCAAAACTGGCCTGACATAGTTTCTAGCTGTATCACCCTTGACAAGTCACATAAGCTTTGCCTTAGTTTCATCATCTATAAAGCAGGGATAATAATAGCCTCTGTTTCACAAGGTTGTTGTGAGAATCCAATGAAATAATATGCAATGATATAACATAACTTAAATTGGTATTAAAAGTGAAAATAGCTTCTTCAGAAAAGAAGATATTTCTTTGTCTTCTCCATCTTTTCTCTAGTAATGACAAGAAAACAGTATGCAGTATTAAAGAACTTTATTATCATTAGGACAGTTAGAAAGAATCTACTTAGAGGGCATGGGTGTGAGTCTATTATGTTAGGTTAATCTCAAAAAAATGAAAGGGTGAGAAAGAGGAATGTCCTGGGAGAAGGGGGAAGGCAGAGGAAGAATGGGAAAAATTAGTTCACATAAAGGAGGTGTACAAGGAAGAGTTTTAACAATGGAGGGGAAAATGTGTGAGAGGAAACAGGCAACATTTGAACTTCATTCTCATCTGAACTGGTTAAAAGAGGAAAGAATACACACACAAATTCAGTTCAGTACAAAAATTTATCTTAACCAACAGAGAAGTAGGAGGGGAAAGGTTAAGAGAAGGGGGGATGATAAGAGAGAAGGGAGATTAAGTGAGGCAGCGGTCAGTAGCAAAACGGGCCTTTGAGGAGGGGAAAGGATTGAAAAAAAAGGATAAACAGAAGGAAGTGGGATGGAGGGAAACACACAGTTAGAAATCATAAATGTGAAACTGTAAAATGGAAGTGGATAGCGAAGTGGATTCAAAACCAGAATCCAACAATATGTTGTTTACAAATCAAACAAAAACACTTGAAACAAATATACACAGAGAGTTAAAATAAAGAGCCAAAACAGAATCTATTAGGCTTAATCTGAAGCAAAAAATGCGGGGGTAGCAATCACGATCTCAGACAAAGCAAAAGAAAAAATATACTTAATTAAAAGAGATAATGAAAGAAAATACATTTTGCTAAAAGGTACCATAAACAATGAAGTAATAGCAATACTAAATATATACTGTATGGACTAAATAGCATAGCATTCACATTCTTAATGGAAAATTTAAGTGAATCATAGGAGGAAATATAAAGTAAATTATGCTAGTAGGAGATCTTAATTTACTGTTGTCAGAACTAGATAAATCTAACCATTAAGTAAAAAAGAAAGAAATGAAGATGAATAGAATTTTGGAGAAATTCTATATGATAAAGCTCTGCAGAATTGGAATGAAAAGGAGTATACCTTTTTCTCAGCTGTACATAACCACATAACAGGGCACAAAAATGTAGAAATGCAAAGATATAAAATGCACCATTGTTGGACCAAAATACAATCAAAATTACATACAATAAAGGGCAGTGGAAGCATAGAAAAAAAATTAACTGGAAACCAAATAATCTAATCCCAAAGAAAGAGTGAGTCAAAGGATTAATCATTGCAATTTGTAGGATGCAGACAAAGAAGTACTTAGTGGAAAATCTATAACTCTAAATCTTTGCATCAACAAAAGATAAAAGGAAATAAATAAATCAATTGAGCATCCAAAAAAGGAAAAAGAGTACAAATTAAAAATCACCGATTAAACAACAACATAGAAATCCTGACAGTCAAAGGAGAGATTGATAAAATTGAAAACACACAAAAAAAATCCCATTGAAATAATACATAAAACAAAGAGGGGTTTTTTTTACAAAAAAAAAAAGACAAATTATTGGTTAATTTGATTTTTTTTAAAAAGAAAGAATACCACATTACAAGCATCAAAACTTAAAAGGGTGAATGCACCACTAATGAAGATGAAATAATGCAATTATCAGAAGCTATTTTTCTCAATTAAATGCCAGTAAAACTGACATTTAAATGAAGTATAAGAACCTTCAGAAAAATATCAATCACTCAGGTTAACAGAAAAGGAAATAGAATACTTAAATAATTTTATCTTAGAAAAAGAAATTGAACAAGGCATAAATCAGCTCCTTAAGATTAAAAACTCCAAATCCAAATGTATTTATAAGTGAATTCTATTAAACATTTATAGAACAATTATTCCCAATACTATAAAAAAGACTTGAAAAAATAAATATAAAGAGTTCTATCAAATTTCCTCTATGGCACAAATATGGTTTGTTATCTCAACCAGGGACAGCAAAATGAGAGAAAGAAAACTATAAACTGATTTGCCTAATTGGTTTATTTTGCAATTTGCCTGATAAAATATTAATGCAAAATTTTAAATTAATGCTAGTAAGAAGATAATAGCAATATATCACAAAGATCACAATAACCAGGTGAGATTTATACCTGGAATGCAAGACTGGTTCAATATTAGAAAAACTAAGGATAATTGACCATATCAACAACAAATACAACAAAAATCATAAAATTATATCAATAGATACAGAAAAAGCTTTTGAAAAAATACAATACCCATTCACATTAATAACACCAGGAAGCATAGCAGCAACTGGAGCTTTTCTTAAAATGATAAGTAGTATCTACATAAAACCAAGAGCAAGCATTATCTTGTGTCTTTCCTAATAAAATATTATCTATTATCTATTATCACCATTATTATTCAATGTTGTACTAGAAATGGTATCTAAAGCAATAAGACAAGAAAAAGAAATTGAATGAATAAGAATAGGCAACACAGAAGCAAAACTACTCCTCTTTTCAGACGACATGATGCTATACTTAGAAAACTTCAGAAGATCAACAAGTTCTTTGGTTCGTGGGTTTTTTTTTAACTTGTTGAAAGAATTAACAACTTTAGCAAAGATGCCAGATATAAAGTAAATCCATACAAATCATTAGCATTTTTATAAATTCTCAACAAAATTCAGCAGGAAGAGATAGAAAGAGAAATTTCTTTTAAAATACCTGCAGATAGTATTAAATGCCTGGAAGTCTACCTGTGAAAACACCCACCAGAACTATGTGAACACAATTACAAAACATTTTTCACACAAATAAAGACAGATCTACACAACTGGAAAAATATTAACTTCTCACAGGTAGGTCAAGACAATATAATAAAAATTATTATGCTGCCTAAATTTATTTATGCGTTAAATGCCATGCCAATCAATTTACCAAGGAATTATTTAATACAGCTAGAAAAGATAATAAAATTCTTCTGGAAGAACAAAAGTCAAGAATATCAAGGGGAAAAAAAGTAAAAGAAGGTGGCCTAGCAGTATCAGATCTCAAACTATACTACAAAGTGATAATCATCAAAACAATCTGGTAATCGCTAAGAAATAGAGTGGTGGATCAATGGAGTAAATTAGGTATATAATACACAGTAGTAAATGACCTTAGTAATCTAAATTTGATAAACCCAAAGATCTAAGGTTTGGGGGCAATAACTCACTGTTTAAAAAAAAAACTTCTGGGAAAACAAGAAGGCAGTTTGGCAGAAATGGAGTACAGATCAACATCTCATACTGTATACTAGGATAATGTGAAAATGAGTACTTCATTTAGAAATAAAGATTGATATCATAAGCAAATTATGGAAGCATAGAAAGTTTTATTTCTCAGATCTATGGATAGAGGAAGAGATTATGATCAAAGAAGAGATAGAGAAAATCATGAGATGCAAAATAGATAAATTTGATTATATTAAATTTAAAAATTTTGCACAAACAAAACTCATGAAGACAAAATTAGAAGGAACTTATTTTAAAAATTAATA